GGACCGAAACGTTTTCTAATAAATATGTTATAGTGTTTGCTTACGTGTCTTTCTAAACCACACAACCAAATAACTGCTGCAGCATATGGGCGCCTGACAAACAAGAACAGCGTTTCGACACCTGAATAAGGAATCATTCAAGACTCCACACCGTGCACGTCAGGCCCATACTGGAGCACGCAGCACCAGCATGGAACCCACACCTGGTCATGCACGGCAAGAAATTAGATTAAGTGCCAAGGTTTGCAACAAGAGTAGTCCCGGAGCTAAGGGGTATGTCCAATGAGGAGAGGTTAAGGAAAACCAACCTGACGACACTGGAGGACAGGAGAGAGAGAGGGGGGGGCATAACGACATAAACAATACTGAGAGAAATTGACAGGATCGACAGGGACAGGATGTTTGAGAGATCGGACACAGCAACAAGGGGACAACTGGAAGTTGACAACTCAGATGAGTCACGGGGACTTTAGGAAGCATTTCCTCAGCCTCAGAGCTGTCAGGAAATGGAACAATCTGCAGAGTGATGCAGTGGAGGCAGGATGCATACACAACTTTAAGAAGAGATACACCAAAGCTCATGGGGCAGGGAGTGTGCGGACCCAGAAGCGACCAGCGAAACGGCGAAGCCAGCTGTGAATCGACCCCTGCAACCACAAATAGGCAAATACAAATAGGTGAGTACGCGCGCGCGCACACACACGCGCACACACACACACACACACACACACACACACACACACACACACACACACACACACACACACACACACATACACACACACAAACACACACACTAAATAGTATTCGTCCAAGAAACGGTGTAAGAATGGGAAAAGGTAAGCAATAAGTTCCGTAAAGATCAGTATTGGGACCGGTACTGTTTCTGACAGCTATATGTGAATGACATACCAGAGAAGTCAGAATTAGATGTATCCCTGTTTTCTGATGTAAAAGTAATGAGAAAATAACTGAGAAGGATAAGGAAAATAGAAATGAACCTGGACTAACTACAAGACTGGCCAGACAAGTGGCTAAGAGCATAAGAAAGAACACTACAGCAGACCTACTGACCCACGCGAGGTTTGTCCAGTTCTCCTACCGGCTCAAGCCAACGCCCCAACCCAGTCAGGTCAGGTCACATTCACGGCATCTGACCTAGCAGCACAAGCCAATCAGGTCCAACTCACATCCACCCACAGTCACTATGTATCTAACCCATTTTTAAAACTACACAGCGTCTTAGCTTCTATGATGTGTGTGTGTGTGTGTGTGTGTGTGTGTGTGTGTGTGTGTGTGTGTGTGTGTGTGTGTGTGTGTGTGTGTGTGTGTGTGTGTGTGTGTGAGTGAGTGTGTATGTACTCACCTAATTATACTCAACTAATTGTGGTTGCAGGGGTCGAGACTCAGCTCCTGGCCCCGCCTCTTCACTGAGTGCTACTAGGTCCTCTCTCTCCCTGCTCCACGAGCTTTATCATACCTCTTCTTAAAGCTATGTATGGTTCCTGCCTCCACTACCTCACTTGCCAGGCTATTCCACTTCATGACTATTTTATGACTGAAGAAATACTTCCTAATATCCCTATGACTCATCTGGGTCTTCAACTTTCAGCTGTGACCCCTTGTTTCTGTGTCCCATCTCTGGAACATCCTGTCTCTGTCCACCTTGTCTATTCCACGCAGTATTTTGTATGCTTATCATGTCTCCCTTAACCCTCCTGTCCTCTAGTGTCGTCAGGCCAATTTCCCTTAACCTTTCTTCGTAGGACATTTCCCTTAGCTCTGAAACTAACCTTGTCGCAAATCTTTGCACTTTCTCGAATTTCTTGACGTGCTTGATCAAGTGTGGGTTCCAAACTGGTGCTGCATACTCCAGTATGGGCTTGATGTACACAGTGTACAGTGTCTTGAACGATTCCTTACTAAGGTATCGGAACGCTATTCTCAAGTTTGCCAGGCGCCCATATGCTGCATCAGTTATCTGGTTGATGTGTGCCACCGGAGATATGCTTGGTGTTATGATCACCCCAAGATCTCTCTCCTTGAGCGAGGTTTGCAGTCTTTGGCCACCTAGCCTGTTCTCTGTGTGTGGTCTTCTTTGCCTTCCCTGATCTTCGTGACTTTGCATTTGGCTGGGTTAAATTCGAGAAGCCAGTTGCTGGACCACGTGTCCAGCCTGTTCAGGTCTCTTTGAAGTCCTGCCTCATCCTCATCTGATTTAATTCTCCTCATTAACTTCACATCATCTGTGAACAGGGACACCTGTTCGCAGTGTGTGTGTGTGTGTGTGTGTGCGTGTGTGTGTGTGTGTGTGTGTGTGTGTGTGTGTGTGTGTGTGTGTGTGTGTGTGTGTGTGTGTGTGTGTGTGTGTGTGTGTGTGTGTGTGTGTGTGTGTGTGTACTCACCTAATTGTGGTTGCAGGGGTCGAGACTCAGCTCCTGGCCCCGCCTCTTCACTGATCGCTACTGGGTCCTCTCTCTCCCTGCTTCCTGAGCTTTGTCATACCTCTTCTTAAAACTATGTATGGTTCCTGCCTCCACTACTTCACTTGCTAGGCTATTCCACTTGCTGACAACTCTATGACTGAAGAAATACTTCCTAACGTCCATGTGACTCGTCTGAGTCTTCAGCTTCCAGTTGTGACCCCTTGTCCCTGTGTCCCCTCTCTGGAACATCCTATCTCTGTCCACCTTGTCTATTCCCCGCAGTATATTGTATGTCGTTATCATGTCTCCCCTGACCCTTCTGTCCTCCAGTGTCGTCAGTCCGATTTCCCTTAACCTTTCCTCGAACGACATTCCCTTGAGCTCTGGGACTAGCCTTGTTGCAAACCTTTGTACTTTCTCTAACTTCTTGACGTGCTTGACCAGGTGTGGGTTCCAGACTGGTGCTGCATACTCCAGTATGGGCCTAACATACACAGTGTACAGTGTCTTGAACGATTCCTTATTAAGGTATCGGAACGCTATTCTCAGGTTTGCCAGGCGCCCGTATGCTGCAGCAGTTATTTGGTTGATGTGTGCCTCCGGTGATATGCTCGGTATTATGGTCACCCCAAGGTCTTTCTCCCTGAGTGAGGTCTGTAGTCTTTGTCCACCTAGCCTATACTCTGTCTGCGGTCTTCTTTGCCCCTCCCCAATCTTCATGACTTTGCATTTGTCTGGATTGAATTCGAGAAGCCAGTTACTGGACCACATGTCCAGCCTGTCCAGGTCTCTTTGCAGTCCTGCCTCATCCTCGTCCGATTTAAGTCTTCTCATCAACTTCACGTCATCTGCGAACAGGGACACTTCAGAGTCTATTCCTTCCATCATGTCGTTCACATATATCAAAAATAGCACTGGTCCTAGAACTGACCCCTGTGGGACCCCGCTCGTAACAGGCGCCCACTGTGATACCTCTTCAAGGTACCATGACTGGTTGCTGCCTCCCTGTCAGGTATTCCCTTATCCATTGCAGTGCCCTCCCTTTTACATGCGCCTGATCCTCCAGCTTCTGCACTAATCTCTTGTGGGGAACTGTGTCAAAGGCCTTCCTGCAGTCTAGGAAAACGCAATCTACCCACCCCTCTCTCTCGTGTCTTACTTCTGTTACCTTGTCATAAAACTCCAGGAGGTTTGTGATACAAGATTTGCCTTCCATGAACCCATGCTGGTTTTCATTTATAATCTTGTTCCTTTCCGAGTGTTCAACCACTCTCCTCCTGATAATCTTCTCCATGACTTTGCACACAATACATGTCAGAGACACAGGTCTGTAGTTTAGTGCCTCGTTTCTGTTTCCTTTCTTAAATATGGGAACTACATTAGCTGTCTTCCATTTCTCAGGTAGTTGCCCAGTTTCAAGGGATGTGTTGAAGATTGTGGTTAGAGGCACGCACAGCATCTCTGCTCCTTCTCTAAGGACCCATGGGGAGATGTTGTCCGGTCCCATCGCCTTTGAGGTGTCAAGGTCACTTAAGAGCTTCTTCACCTCCTCCTCAGTTGTTCGTATGTCATCCAACACTTGTTGGTATATTCGCTCTTGATGTTCCCTTCTGTGCTGTCTTCCCACAGCCCTTCCTGTCTCTACTGTAAAAACTTCCTTAAATCTCCTGTTCAGCTCCTCACATACCTCCTGATCATTTCTTGTGAGTTCTCCACCTTCTGTCCTTAAACTGATCACCTGGTCTTTGACTGTTGTCTTCCTCCTGATGTGGCTATACAACAGTTTCGGGTCAGTCTTGATTCTCGATGCTATGTCATTTTCATACTGTCGCTGGGCCTTCCTCCTTACCTGTGCGTACTCATTCCTGGCTCTGCGACTGATCTCCCTATTTTCGTGTGTTCTCTGCCTTTTGTACTTTTTCCATTCTCTATTGCACTTTGTTTTTGCCTCCTTACAACGTCGGGTGTGTGCATGTGTGTGTATGTGTGTGTATGTGTGTGTATGTGTGTGTGTGTATGTGTGTGTGTGTGTATGTGTGTGTGTGTGTGTGTGTGTGTGTGTGTGTGTGTGTGTGTGTTTGTGTGTGTATATATGTGTGTGTGCGTGTGTGAATGTCCGAGTAGCCCTCATAATCGTAAGGTAGAGTGTTATTTTTTATATTTTGAGGCACACATGGAATATATATATTTTACAAATATTCGGCTAGTATCTCCGTGTTTTCACCGATACTGATACTGATTACGTAAAACAAGTCGATACCCGCCGATTCCCATACCGATATTTTGGTTCATCCCTAGTATCCACTGTAAGAGTTTTTACTCCATTTTGCATACGTAAAATACGTACATATGTAAAACAATTCTGAATAACACTCACTTATCATAACCGTCTTGTTTTGGATATTTACAAAATTCGCATTCGCTTATATTAAATAAAACATTTAACATGAAATGCTGAGTGAAAATAACAATCGGAAAGTTAAGTATCTAGATAAATTGACATTCTGAAAGAAATATGAGTAAGTGCAATAGCAGTGACGACAAAACTTTTGGAAAAAAAGGAGAAAATCTTACATATGACGTCTGCGATGTTGCCATAGTTGTACTTGGTACCATGCACGGCCTCCAGGGCCCTGACGCTCACCCCGGCCACTCGGTACTGGAGGCCAGAAACAATATCATTACTCATCGTGATATAATAAATGTGTAATTATTGCTTTACCAATGAATTAGTTACGTCTATATATGATGCTGCCACTAGAAAGTCGAAAGAATATAAATATTCTTGCTGTCGTGTACCCAGACTCTTAACTGCTCTTTTTTAACTTGTCGAACATGATCAATAGATATTGTGGTGCCTATTAACGGTTCTTACTCATTCATTTTCTTCCAAACACCATGACTTTGTGATGGTCCTCACCTGTTCGTCATAATTGGCAGGCAGCTGCTCGGTGTAACCATATGGAGTCATCCAGAGCTGAGAGTAAGAATGAAGACTAAAGTACATTCTCACGTCTGGCAGAGCTTCAATGGAGCCTCGCACAGCCTGTGATTCTCTCTCAGAAAAGGCAGACTCTCCTGTGAAGGATTATAATTGTAGCTACAACTCAACATTCGCCTCCAGAAGGAAGAGAGTGAAAATGTTGTTATGCAAATATTTGATACGATATTTTTTATTGTGTATTAAAATTAGCATAGAGGTTCAAGACATCTGTAATACGAAGAGAGGCACTGGTCAGAGAAATAGCAAACATGGAACTTAAACTAAAGGAATCTTACAGGAGTTAAGAAACTCGGGAAGAACTAAAAACCTAAATGAAATTGAAAGAAGCCCAAAATATTTCTTTTCTTATGCCATATCTAAGTCGAGAACAATATCCAGTATTGGGCCCCTACTTAGACGAGATTAGTCCTACACAGATGACAGCAAGGAAATGAGTGAGCTACTCAAGTCCCAGTATGACTCAGTTTTTATAAAGTGAGCCGCTAACCAGACTGAGAGTCGAAGACCTAAATGAATTTTTTATGAGCAAGACACAGGATCTGGTAGATTCAAAACTATCTGATATTATCCTGAAGCCAAATGACTTCGAAAAGGCGATAAATGACATGCCTATGCACTCTGCCCAAGGCCCAGACACATGGAACTCCGTGTTCATCAAGAACTTCAAGAAATCCTTATAATGTGCTATTAACATCCTATGGAGAAGGGACATGGACACAAATGTCGTCCCACAGCTGCTAGAAACAACAGACATAGCTCCATTCCACAAACGGAACAGTAAAGCAATAGCCAAGAACTACAGACCGAAAGCACTAACATTCCGTATCATAAAATTCTTTGAAAGGGTTCTAAGAAGCAAGATCGCCACTCATCTAGATACCCATCAGTGATACAACCCAAGGCAATATGAGTTTAGAACAGGTTGCTCCTGCCTGTCCCAATTACTGGACCACTAAGCCAAGGTCCTGAACGCTCTAGAAGACAAACAAATGCAGATGCAGTATACACAGACTTTGCCAAAGCCCATGACAAGTGTGGCCACGGTGTAACAGCGCACAAAATGCGTGATAAAAAAATAATAGGAAAAGTTGGAAGATGGATCAATAATTTCCTAACAAACAGAACACAAAGGGTAGTAGTAAACAGAGTAAATTCGGAGGCTGCTACTGTGAAAAGCTCTGTCCCACAAGGCACAGTACTCGCTCCCATTCTGTTCCTCATGCTCATATCTGACATAGACAAGGATGTCAGCCACAGCACCGTGTCTTCCTTCGCAGATGACACCCAAATTTGCATGACAGTGTCCTCCATTGAAGACACTGCAAGACTCCAGACGGACATCAACCAAATCTTTAAATGAGCAGCAGAAAACAATATGAAGTTTAATAATGAGAAATTTCAATTACTCCGATATGAAAAACGTGAAAAACTAACGCAAAAACCTGCAAGTGCTAATGTCAGAGGATCTTACTTTCAAAGACCACAACATTGTATCAATCGCATCTGCTAGAAAAATGACAGGATGGATAATGAAAGCCTTCAAAAATTGGGATGCCAAGCCCATGGTGACACTCTTCTAAGCTGGAATATTGCTGCATACTAACAGCACCTTTCAAGGCAGGTGAAATTGCTAACCTAGAAAATGTAGGAGTGCTTGAAGTTCCTTAAGCTGTACTCCCCAGAACGCAGTCGGGAGAGATACATGATTATATAAACCTGGAAAATCCTAGAGGGATTTGTATCTAACATGCACACGAAAATCACTCCCTATGAAAGCAAAAGACTCAGCAGACGATGCAACATCCCCCCCAATGAAAAGCAGGGGTGCCACTAGCACGATAAAGGACAACACAAAAAGTGTCAGGAGCCCAAGACTATTCAACTGCCTCCCAGTATACATAAGGGGCAATACCAATATACCCCTGGCTGTCTTCAAGAAGGCGCTGGCAGTACCTGACCAGCCGGGCTGTGTTTCGAACGTCGGGTTGCGTGCGGCCAACAGTAACGTTACAGCTGGTTGATCAGGCTCTGATCAGCCATGAGGCCTGGTCACAGACCGGGCCGCGGGGGCGTTGATCCGTGAAACCCTCCCCAGGTATACTGCAGGTACGAACCTCAATCTGTCCTTGCTAACCCAAATAAGAATTTCCATAGCTCTGTCACTGTTTTCCTTTATGGATTATGTGTGTGAAGGGAAGAATGTTCATGTTATCCGACAAGCAATTCACTTTTATCTACAGCCTGATTAAAAAAATCACCTTTTCTTATTTTAATAAATTATCGTATTTATATAACGTATGGAGCAATGCTGTTAAAGTAAGTGGAAGTAGCGATAACTTAAATAAATTACTAACCACTGTACAAGTCAGAACATGGGTTGTTTGAACTCCCGGCTCCACCAAAGTCTGAGTCGAAGTTACGGTTGCAGTCGACGCCATGACACTCAGCGTTGGGTACGCGGTTCTTGCGCCATAGACGGTCCTGAAATGTACGACTCATGTCACCTTGTCTTCAACTCGTATTACCATTTTTTAGAAAAAAAAAAAGATTTGGCTATCCTTTTCATGGAATTCATTGTTTTATTTTTGGATATCTGTTCAAGGTGAGAGATACTGAATATTTATAACATTCAGGAAACATTAAAAAATGATTTGAATAACATTAAAAAATATTACAATAAAGAAACAACTTTAGGAATTAGGATAAGATTATTTGAAAATTTTCGGTTACCACTGCGACTGTTACAGGTAAATCAAATAACTCGTCTTCCAGCACCGACAGACCAACACCAGGAAACCTCTGTCTCAGTCACCAATAATGAGGTAACCCTGATAACTTTTACTCCATAGACCTAGAGACAAGTAATACCGGTAAAGTCTGCCCCAACGACCATAAAAAGCAACGCCAACTGCTTCTGTCCTCGAGACCGAGAGATGTAGCCTCAATAGCTTCTGTCCTAGAGACCGAAAGAGTTATTTTCAATAAATATTGCTCTAGCGACGAAGAGAGGTAACCACAATAACCTTGACTCCTTCAACCAAGAGACGTAACCACAATAACCTTGACTCCTTCAACCAAGAGAGGTAACCACAATAACCTTGACTCCTTCAACCAAGAGAGGTAACCACAATAACCTTGACTCCTTCAACCAAGAGACGTAACCACAATAACCTTGACTCCTTCAACCAAGAGAGGTAACCACAATAACCTTGACTCCTTCAACCAAGAGAGGTAACCACAATAACCTTGACTCCTTCAACCAAGAGAGGTAACCACAATAACCTTGACTCCTTCAACCAAGAGAGGTAATCACAATAGCCTTGACTCCTTCAACCAAGAGAGGTAACCACAATAACCTTGACTCCTTCAACCAAGAGAGGTAATCACAATAACCTTGACTCCAACAACCAAGAGAGGTAACCACAATAACCTTGACTCCTTCAACCAAGAGAGGTAACCACAATAACCTTGACTCCTTCAACCAAGAGACGTAACCACAATAACCTTGACTCCAACAACCAAGAGAGGTAACCACAATAACTGGCTCTAGCAACCAAGAGAGGTAACCACAATAACTGGCTCTAGCAACCAAGAGAGGTAACCCTAATAAATTCTGCTTAACAACCTCAATATCTTAGGACCCTAGTAATCTTTCCTTCCTATCATGAAGTTCTATAATACAGTGAAAAACGTACATTGTCTCGAAAATTATCTGTATATAACCTGTATATATCTGTATAATTATCAGTATTAACCATGCGAAATCTGGTCACCTCAAGTCATAATACTTGAATCCTTAAAATCATGTGAATATGATGTCTGCAGTAATTCAAAGGTGGAAAAGATTTGTAACTTCTGAAGACACTGATGACCAATCAATGCTTCGGTGACAGTTGAATCACCATCACCATCACTTGGATTCATTTCTGGAAATTGATTTAACGATAAAAGTAATACAATATATTACAAACTATTTAATATGTGGTGTATTATGGACAATACATGATATAGAAAATTGAAGTAAACTGGTCAACTGGATGAGTTGCTCAGATGTCTACTATAAAATAAGCTGGTTACTATCTGAAGAGAGCTAAATTATAACAGGTCGTGATAAATACAATAAAGCAATATTGAAATTTTAGAAATGTTGAGAATTAAGAAGACTTAAGAAAGAAAAGGCTTAGCTTACGTGTCTTTCATTACTCCATTAGACTGAATAACAGAAAACTGACAAGATGATAAGTGAGAAACTTGAGCAACACTTGGAAATCTTCATTCTGGAAACGTTTCTCCAACTAGTGGCTTCTTCAGTCCAGTACAGAGAAACGGGAGATGATGATTAGGAGTTGTGGTAATCAATTCCTCAGTCTGGGGTCGATGTGTTCTGTCAATAAATGTTGGTTAAAGTCCAGCATATTCACGAAGATGGAGCTTATTTACTGCAGACAGATGAGGTGGAGCATTGCGAGGCAGCGGAATTCTTCAACGCTTACCTAACGTATAGACCTGACCTACTTCCACTAGTGATGTTTTTCCTCTGGTGACTCCGCCTACCACTGCTATACCTCATCTGTCTGCAGTATATAAGCTTCATCTCCGCGAATACTGCACTAATATCATGATTGATGGACTGAACACATCGGCTCCATCTGGGGGACTGATTACCTAAACTCTTCATATTCCCCGGTTTCTCTGCACTGGACTGAAGAAGCCGCTGGTTGGAGAAATGTTTCCAGAATAAAGATTCCCAAGTGTTGCACAAGTGTTTTAGTAATCACAGAATAACAGTAATCTAAACTTGCCAGAAAATGGGTTTTAACAGAAGTTATTCTAAAGGAAACAAATTAATTTGCAAAATTGTTTTCATTGAATCTAAGTTAAATTCTTTTAACATGCAAGTTCTGTAGAATTATTAATTTCATCGTTTTCTTCACTTAAGTTACAGCTTTTCAAATAATTTAGACTCAATGAGTGATTGAGTTTTTGCCAGGATGATTTCTGATAAATGAAACAACTTCCTACATGTGAAAGTTAAGACACATGTGCAACATCTGGATATCTTTATTGTAGACGTTTCGCCATCCAGTGGCTTTATCAATACAGATTCTAGGACATAATAGGAAGACAGTAGAACTATATACAAAAGATGAGGTAATCAGTCCCTCAGCCTTGGAGTTAGTGTTCACAGCATCGTGGTGGAGGAGAATCTGTATTGATAAAGCCACTGGATGGCGAAACGTCTACAATAAAGATATCCAGATGTTGCACATGTGTCTTAACTTTCATATTGTCGGTATTTTATACTTTTCTTGCACTACTTCCTACATGTCTGATACTACATTTCTACAATTAGAACATTTGAACTGATAAATTAAAGGATCAGCTGCAGGTTCTTTAAACTTAAAATGGCTGTCAATAGTAAGAAGGTTCACAAAAATGGATTTGAATTTAATTTGTGGATAACTAGCTTGAAGAAATTTGAAACAATGTTTCCTAAAATTTTAACTTGGATGTCCATGAAAAGGAAATTTAATACAGCAGGCATCCTTAGAAACTACAACTTAAAGAAACTTGTTGAGAACTTCCCCCCCCCCCCAAAAAAAAAAAGTTTCAGTAGTTATTCAAGAATTTAACGTGGCCCGTGGTCTGGTAGGCAATGCTTTCGCTTTACACGCTGAATGTGCGTGTTTCGATCCCCTGCAAGGGTAGAAACATTGGGTGTGGTTCTTTATACTTGTCCCGTTCACCTAGCAAGCAAGTAGGTACCTGAGTGTTAGTTGAATGGTGTGGGTCGTATCCTGGGGAACAAAACTGAGAACCCCAATGGAAATAAGAAAGCCTTAATTAATGACGCACTGCCTTTCTTGGGTCATCCTCGGTGGCTAACCTTCCAGGGTTAAAAATCTTAACAAAATGTTTTCCTAACTTTACTATTAAATGCTAACCAATCAGAACACAGTTAGTAGCACCTGTTGATCAAAGATTTTACGTCGTTTTTCTTAAAGACAATTGGATCAAGAAAGTGCAGACTTAATAATGTACAACCAAAGGCACCATTAACGTTCTCAACAACAATAAAAGGCACCATTAACATTTTCAACAACAACAAAAGGCACCATTAACATTTTCAACAACAAAAGGCACCATTAACATTTTCAACAACAACAAAAGGTACCATTAACATTCTCAACAACAACTTCAAGAAATTAAAGCCTATTATTATTTACCTAATAAACATTAGATAATAATATTCATGTTCTTGGAGTTTAACTAATTCTTAAACAAACTGATCTAGGAATAGTTTTCAAAACTAAGGATAAGTCATTCAGAAATTTTAAATACGAAGCTCAATAATCAGGTTCAAAACTCTCATGAAAACAGAAAAATATTTGCAAATGTTGATCCAATAACAGAACCAATGGCAAAGCGATAAATTCATTCATATTTTAATATATTGTACATAAACCTCGTCATTCAGCTATCAGAAACCATTCGAATCCTACTATCACGTACTGAGTCCACATAATTTCAAAATAATAACTAAAGTTTGGAATTCTTTGGATTTCAGAACTCTAATATGTTTATTCTGAAGTTAATATAGGATTTTCCCTTTTTATGATTTAGTTTTATGTTATTCTGTGTAATAAAACAATGAAAAACATGTAAACTAAACCTTCACCTCAGTGAAGCTACTTAATTTTCAGTATTTCTCATGTTGGTTTATTTGTTTCTAATGAATAGTTATGTTTTCTACATTATTGTAATTCTCCTCAAACAGTAACTTGTTTATTGCATTTAGAATTATTAATAGCTTCTCCGAACTTTGCTAGTTTAAATAAGTTGCTTTTATTATGTGTTATACCGTATATTGCAAATTGTTTGTTACTAAGTAATGTTCCGGAAAGGATTCCTGATGATGGCGAGAACTTTATCACTGAAATATCGGAAAATATCTCGAGAAGGAGCACGGCTTTCAAAACCACTTGCTATGACTTATATCGCTTCAAGGTGAGACATCTTTACAGTTTCAAACAGGAGTTGGTTGGCTTATGTAGGCTGACTCAAGAAATCGTAATGACACGATTGCAAACAAACCATACCCCGGCTGGGATTGAACCCGCGGTCAGAGAGTCTCAAAACTCCAGCCCGTCGCGTTGGCCACTAGACCAGCTAGCCACAATAAGATTCATCCAACTAGGTATATTTCTACACCATAGGAAGGTTAGCACAGGCACCTCTGTGACCACAAATGCAAGTTTTTACAGACGAATCTCCAGCTAGCGTGGCCGTGACGAACTCTAGCTCAAGTCCCTTCACTGCCGTCAACATGACTCAAGAAATCGTAATGACACGATTGCAAACAAACCATACCACGGGTGGGGTTAGAACCCGCGATCAGAGAGTCATAAAACCCCAGTGGCTAACGCGTCGGTCTGGAGTTTTATGACTCTCTGATCGCGGGTTCTAACCTCACCCGTGAT